AAGAAGGTAAGATTTCTCTCTTTTTCTCTCTCTTTCTCTCTTCTATCGGTGAACGGCTGAACATATGGGGGAGAAATCAAATTTTTCCCCTATTTATAGCCTTAGAATACTTAGTCCACAACGCGTCATACGACCCTCTTTTTTTCGGGTCCGTTTTCATCCCAAAATGATTAAAATTTGTCTCGGTTCAAGTTCAAAATATTTTTATTTTAACTTGCCTTAAATTATTTTTTAACTTTCAAAATTTTATTAAAAATCCCGTTTTTGGGTCACCCGAGACTCGACTGTCTTGTAAAATGCAAAAAAATCTGACTATCTCAGAATTTGATGAAATTTGACAGGAGTAGCTAGATTTTGCGAGATGAATCCAACGGTGAGGTCTATTTCATCATCTGAGTTTTAAAGAAATTCAGGTTTATAACACGTACCATAGTGACAAATTTATCGTTTTGCCCTTTTTCATAAAAAAAATTAAATTTACCCAGGGTTTACATGGAGGCTGGGAAGAACTTGGAAGAGAATGCTTAGAAAAAAGTTTAGAAGAAGAAGGAACCCCCGCAACATGCTAGCCTTTGTTGAAAAATGAATCTCAGAGTTGAGGGATCTGTAAGACAAGATCATTTTCTACCTTCTCTCTCCTTTGCATCAGCTTTGGATTGATCAAACTCTTCCAGGAGGCTTGTGTAATCCAGCTGAGATTGAGAAAGCTCCACAATGGCCTCATGTTCAGAATTTTTTAATTTTCCAATCTCCATTTGAAGCTTTTTTTTCTCCTTAGTTAGGCTTTGATTTTGAACCTAGAGAACCTTAACTTTTTCGCAGATCTTGGAGTATTCTTCATCCACCGACTCTTTTTTGGCCAAAGCTGAAGCTCAGGCATGGATAGCATCCTTCATCGCCTTGTCTTTTTGGGCTATCCTTACCCCGACCTCATGGACTGTTTGCAAACCCTTAAAATTGGGAGGAAGACTTAGAAAATATTTGAAGAAAAGTGGGAAAGAATGAAAGAACAAATTAAAAAATATTACCAGAACCATATAATGGATGGCTTGACGAGACACTTCGTCATTAGTAAGAGCCTCGTTCATAGCCAGGTCTTGAGACAAGATCACTCCCCAAGCAATCCCCACTGCAACATTAAAATCTTCTATTACAAAATCCTTTGCAGTAATTTCTCTCCTTTTAGCCCTAAGAACTAGTCGAAAAGGAGGATTCATAGGTTTGGGAGAGGGACTCGCCTCGGACTCAGCAACTTTTTGCCTCTTTGGGGTCGGTCTTCGGCAAGCTCAAAAATTTAATCGTTTTGTGGAGAAGGGGAACAAACAAAATCTGGAGGATCTAACTCAACTGGAATTGAATTTTCAACATTTTGGGCCAGGTTTGCTTGGTCACTAATTAGTAGAGCTGCACCATCTTCAAAAATTGTCTTGGCAGGAACCTCGACAGTAGGCTCCTCAAGAACAGAAGTTGAAGGCACGGAAGTTGGTGGAATAAGCTTGGTGGATGGGGTTGGCTCAACAGTTGATAAAAAATCCAAAAAATTCTTCACCTTTTTGTGTTCAGAAGCTACAAGGGAAGAATTTTTTCGTGCTCGGGGTGTTTGATCCTAAGCAATTTAGATGGCCTCCCGGTCTATAGCTAGGGTAGCATTGGGTCGGCTCGGAACTGTGATGAAAGAAGTGTAGGTTAGAGTATACCTGAGCAGAGTATGTGTAGCTTGGTAAAACAAAGATTCGTTGTAATCCCAGACTTTTCGAAGTTCATCCATTTTCATGGATGACTTAGGGATTCTTTCCTTCACGGCCTCACTTTCAAATAAAAAGGAAGATTGTCAAAAACAGAAGTTAAAAAAAAAAGTACAAAAAAAATCACCTGGTGAGCCCTCTTCATAGGGGCATCAGAAAGAAGGAACAACCTCAACAGGGTATTCCCAATTTCCAAAAACAAACACGATATCATTCTCATGACATTTGATTGAATCTGGGAGATGAGTCACCAAATAACGATCTTTCTTCCTCACTGTAAGATAGTAATTGTCTCCAGTCGATTTAAGAATGTAACAATACAAGATCTCCCATAGACCCAAGCTCAGGTTCAGAAGCTTATTCAATGTTGCCATACCCATCACTATTCGGAAGAAGTTGGGGTAACATTGGATAGGACATAGTTTCATGGCTGATAGTACCCAAAGTAGCAAGAGGGTCGAGTGAAAAGCGAATCCCACCTTCGGTGATCGCTCGAGTATAAATTGGAATCCTCTCTCTTGTCCCAATTAGAGGCTCATCTTTTTCAGCGACCTTTACCTCAACGTCATTTAGAATGTTGTATTAGTTTTGAAAGCAAGAATTTCAGAGGGTGTGAGAGGGCCCATTAAGGAAGATGAACGCAGAAAGAAGAAAAGTGGTGCAGATATGAAGAAAGAGATGAATATGAAACTGAGAAGATAAAGTGACAGAAAAAAGAAGAGAAATCGTTTATAAAGAGGGAGAATTCTAAAAGGCAATATTTAAATATAGAGCATGCCGCCAAAACAAAGGGGGATGTCACGAAGTACGCGTAACGATGATGAAAAGGCATAATGAAAGGGTTGGCTTTCATTATTACACGTGTTATGATATTAAATGAGCTCACGTGAGGATGACAAGACAAAGCACGTGAGGACAGTATCAGACAAACATGCCTAGTCGAACTGATCAATTTGTTCGATAAGCAATGAAAGAGCTCGGCCCTAGTCAAGGTGTTTGGTGTGTAACGAAAGAGTTCGGTCTTCGTCATGACCGAGGTGTTTTGAAACATTAAAAGGAAAGATAAAAATGCGCCAAAAATTTAGGCGTTCAAGATAAGCTAATAAGCTTAATTATATGCCAAGGGAATTGCCAGAGAGATTTCAACATTTTTCCAAACTAAATCACTTAATTGGAGGAAAGTGTGTCACCTTAAATCGAAATTCATGAAAACTCTAACTGAACAGGGATTATAAAAACCAAAAATGAGCCAAGGTGAAAGGTATGCTAAGCTCTCCTTGTCTTATAGTAATTATTTCTATTCCATTACTGACTTAAGTATCAGAGTGTCTTTGATCGAAATATTTTGATCTCGGGTAGTTTGTTCGTTTTGCAAAACATGAAGATTGGGAGATCAAGTTCAGAAATATTCTTTACTAGAAATATCAAATTCAAACTATAGTGAGAGGTATCATCGATTTTTATCTCTTACAATGAGCTATGGATTCAGAAGAGAAGGTTGATTTTTGTGTTTAGAAGGGATTAGATTTTTCAGTATCAATATCTTGAAGGTTTTTAAAATAGATTATTCGATAGAGAAAAATGTTGGTTTTGTGTTTGGGAAGGATTAGATTTCAAAGGCTTTTAAAAAAGATCAGTTGATTTAATTCTTATTGTGAGATGTTTATTCTACCAATAAGCATGAACATGGCTGAGTGTTTATTAGTGTAAGATTAGCAAAAAATTACCATTCTATTTTCGGAATATTTGCTTGTATTCTACTCTTGCGGATTGTTGGATCAATAAAGTAATTATTTTGGTAAAAATTAAAAAATTTGGTGGGGGTTGGGTGATAGTTTTTTTTTTTTGGATAAAAATTAAAAATATAAAACATGTTTGGTAGTCATTTAAATTTTAAAAATGGTGAAAGTAAAAATAAAAAATATGTTTAGTATTATACAAAAAATTCATCATCCAACCCCATTGACCACCCCAACCCCCACCACCGAAACCCACAGCCCACCCCCACCACTGAAACCCATCACCACAACCACCAAAACCCACCACCATAACCATCAAAACCCACTACCCACCCTAGAAACCCACCCCTGAAACTCCCCAGCAAAACTTACTATCCATCCCCAAAACCCAACTCCACCACCCACTGTCCATCCCCGAAATCCACAGCTACCCCCAAAACCCAACCTTGCAACTCCCTAGCAAAACCTATCAGAGAAGGGCGAAAGAGAGAGTCGAGAGATCTGAAAAAAAAGTGAAGAAAGAGAGACTTTTTATACTAAATTAAGAAAATTCACTCTTTGTTACTAAGGAAGATCGAAATTAAGATCTCATTAAATGAGACATTTTAAATCATGTGTTTATTTTTTTTAATGTTTTTAAAAACATCATTTTGGATATTTTCATATTTTAGCCTCAGTTAAAAAAAATTAAAAATATTCGCTAAATATATTTTTATATTTACTTTTTAGTCATAAAATAAAAATAAAAATAAAAAAAAAAAAAAAAAATACACCAGTTTACCAAAGGCACCGGAGAGTCGACCACCTGCCCTGCCGGGTGATGTCATGTGGCTCAGTCAATCTAATGTCAACAACCGACGGTTTTTACTTTTTCAAAAATAAATTTTTATCCGGAAAATAAATGAGGAAACGTGTTAACCGACTTTGCCAAAGTTTGCCTACACGACCTCGTCTATACACAGCGTCCATCTTCTAAAAATCCGTGTTGTCGTTCGGTTCAGTTTTTTTGCGAGTTGTCGTGTTGCTAGGAGTTCGTTCGAACTCTCTGGTAAGCCACGTTAGGTCTAGGGTTTCGATGGCTCCGTTGGCGTTTTGATTATAATTATGTAACTTTTGACGGTTCTCTGTAAATTCTTTTGAAGTCTAGGGTTTGGTGGCGTTCGGTGGCTCTCCGTTGGCCTTGTGATTGCCTGTCGCTATTTTTATGTTGCTTTTGGATTTATTTTGCAATCGTTCAATATGGCCGTGAAGTTTTCTTCCAATAGCTTGGCTTCTTGTAGGATATATTGCTGTCGCTTCCTAGTTTGCTCAGTTATTTTGAGTTATGTCGATAAGGCGGGCAAGAATTGTAAGATAAGGTAACTTTTTGGTTAATTTGCTGAAATCTAGTTCTGGGTTATGTTTAATGAAAGTTGTCGATGCCCTAATTCGACTTGATATTATGCGTTGCAGAATCGCATGCTAGGTTGATTGATCTTTGAATTTTATTCTTTTAGACTCCACTTATTTTCTTCTTATGACGTTTAGTAACGGATTGGATTTTCTGTTGAAGCCTGTGTTACACTACTATTCAAGGCAGATGATCGGGATTTTTGGGAGTTTGTATTGTCTGATTCTTGGGTTATTTTTCATGACGTCAGGTGGTCAATTTTGGCGTCTTGATTCTTGGTAATTCTATGGTGTTTAGCCAGTTCATGTGTATTATTTGATTTTAGATAAATTATAGGGGTAGTCCACTTGCAGTGATTGATAAGCAATCAATGGGATTCTGTTGGTATTTCCTTATATTTGGTCTGTTGCTTTCTTCGGTCTTTATTTTTTTCCCGTTGTCCTTCTGGGTATCAGCTTCTTGTTGTGTGCAGTCCAAATCCCCGAGACGAGAAGGTGTGCAAATACTGTGGTCTGGTTATGCCCGAGACTGTGTCCATCTATGGGAAGAGTTTTTTCCGGTTTGGTCTTTTTTGTCCGTTGTTTGGTAGTAGTTCTTGTTGTGCATCATGAATAACACCTTATGTTTTTTCCTCGCAGAATTTATAGTACTTAAGTCTGTTCCCACTTGCAGTGATTGATAACCAATCAATGGGATTCTGTTGGTATTTCCTTATATATGGTCTGTTGCTGTCTTCTGTCTTTATTTTTTTCCGGTTATCCTTCTGGATATCAGCTTCTTTTTGTGTGCAGGCCAAATCCCCGAGACGAGGAGGTGAGCAAATACTGTGGTCTGGTTATGCCCAAGACTTTGTATATCTATGGGAAGAGTTTTTTCCGGTTTGGTCTTTTTTGTCAGTTGTTTGGTAGTAGTTCTTGTTGTGCATCATGAATAACACCTTATGTTTGTTCCTTGCAGAATTTATAGTACTAAAGTCTTTTCTTTGCAGAATTGATGGACCATGTCTTGTTAATACCAAAGTTAAAACAGCAAATACCTATATGGCAATTCCTTCACAGGTTCAGCTGCATGACCTTATTTCTTCTCATCTTCTAACGTTTTTCCTATTATACCCGTATTATTGTAGTTGTATTTGGCGAACTTATTTTCTAAATAGCCCACCTCATATTAGGAGAAGTGAGTTGGAAGTGGGTGAGAGTATAGTTGTTCCCCTTTGTAGAACTAGGTGAGAGTATATTTTCTAAATAGCCCACCTCAAATAGCCCACCTAATACCAAAGCTAGCTTTTTGTTATTTTGTTCGTTTTTCTAGTTTCAGTTTATTTTATAGCAGTGCATTTATATTGATGTTGTGCATGTATTTTTGTTGTTCTACAGGGGCTACCTTGCTGCTTTCCCTATCTATTGGTATACTAGAATAGCGAAGAATAGGATTGGGGAGACAAATTAGGTGTTTATTCCCCTTGAGACACCTCCAAATGCCTGTCCACATCATTCTTTTTCGGTTGCATAGTGTTCTTGTGGCTCTTTTCTATTTGGGTTGTTTTCAGCTTGAAGTTCTACAATTAGGTTGAGTTATTGATAGAGATGTTGGGAATTTTTGGATTGTTGGGTTGGTTTACTTTTTGCTATTAAGAATATGATTTTTGAGGACTTATTTTTCCATTTATTCTATTTAGTGTACTAGAAGTGCCATATTTCTATATTATAGATGTTGTTCAACAGTTCAGGTGTTCCTCTTTAGTAGTTGTTACTCTTGTACTTGGAGTGAAAGAATTTAAACTCTTCCTTTTTTTGTTGTGGTGCACTGTTGAGCATTGTTGTAAGTGCGTGTCTGCTCCCATCCTTATTATTTGAATGTTTAGGGAAGGCTATGCTTTTGGAGGAGCTGATGCATATTCAAGTGGTGCACAGGTCTACTTTTCTGTCCTTTCCTGGCTTTTTCCTAGATATTGGTTGATTGGCTATCTTTAGCCAGTTCTTAATTTTTGTGTTTTGTGTTGGAAAGTGATCTAGTGGATGTGATCTCTGTTCACAACTTAAAGAAGACAGAAGGAAATAGAGTTGCACCTTTTATTAATAGGCTTTTTCCATTTCCTTCTTTTCTTTCCCATGGTAATGTTGTGGCTGGTCTCCATTCTGAGTTTCTGCTGGGTACTGCAATTGGATTGAGCTAATCTATTTGGATCTTGGAGTCAGCGATTGCTTAAGCCATTTTTGGTATTATTAATGACTCTATTTAGCCTATTGCACATTTTTTTATACTTGTGGTTCAGGTGTTGTCTTATTGCGCTGGAATGTGTCAGGTGGTTTCCATTTTGGCATGGCTATTTGTGGTACTTAGATTGAAAATGTCAACATCTTTCTGTTTCTATTACGGGGATTTTGTTAAAACTTTGTAGCTTGAATTCTACAGTAGAGATTATATACAGGTGTGGGTTTTGTTGCCTTTGCTATTGTGCGAATGTTGGGGAAGAGAATGCTTTGTTGCAGTTGCTGCGGATTGAATGCATTTTCGTATAAGCTAATTTATTAGCCTGTCGCTTACCTGTTGATTTTTTTTGTGGAGGTTGCTGTAAGGCTGAATACATGTAATACAATGTGTGTGTTGATTCGGAGATACGCACTGTAGGATTTGAACCTACGAGCTATGATATTGGGTTTTGGAGACCCATACCGAACTGAACTTAGAGTGCTTTCTTATCACATCACAGTAGATATGACTGGAAAGAAAAGAATTTTTTTTGTACCCCCAATACATCTTGCATGCATATAGTCTCATATAATATAATGAAAAATTTTATGTACGCCCAATTTGAATCAATCTCAATGGATCCCTCATTACTACCCAGAGGAGAAGAATAGTTTAGGGATGACTGGATTGGAACCTGTGACATTTTTGACCCAAAACAAAGGCGCCCCCCTTTAAATGTCATCCAGCGAGATACCCTTTCCATAGCATATGAGCACTGAATAAAGGAGGTTTGCCCTTTTTTGAGTAGGTTTATTTTGTCTATATTTATTTCTTTTTTCTCATTATGTTGTTGTGGCTTCTTTCTTTTTGTTGTTTATAGTGAATTACAACTAATTGGTTTGCTTTTGCTACTATGAATAATTTTTTTGATTTTTTTCCATGGTTGTTAATTGGTGTACCTCTTATTCCTACGATTCATGTGTGGTCCATTGGAGAGGAATCTGTTAGGTCTCTCTATTTTTTTATGGCTAATTTTGGTAAAATTGGAAATATTGTATCTCTGCTTTTCTGTTACTTCTCCATAGATTTTTGATGATGTAGATTATTCCAGCATTGTGATTTTTCCAATAGCATTTAGAGGATTGACTTTTGAGTGTTTGGTTTGGCTTGTTTCAGTTTTGGATGGTTGCTCTTATTGGGTTTATCAAGTGAAGGTCACAGCATTTTCATTCTTTCCTAAAGTTTTTTGCTCCTGTGTCATAGGTGGAATTGTTTCACATGATGAATTAAATTCACGAGCCTGAGAACGCCATTTCTTTGTAATTTTTTGTGTTTTGTGGTTCTTGGGTGTAGCAGCAGGGAAATATCTCGAACGACGTTGCTGGTAGAATGTTGGAAATGTTTTTTGGTGCTTTAGAATGTGGTTCCTGTTGCTGTGCACTGTGCGAGGTTGTATAGCATTGTGCTCGGCTTTGGACTCTTGGCAACAAGGTAAGTTATTGTGTTCTATTTAAGTGTCTGTGTGGAAGATACGTCCTCCTTTTAGGTGGTCCCTTTGATACCCTAATAAACAATTGATTATCATAGCTCGGAAAACCGCATGAAGAGTAATTTACATCATTGTAGCATTTTAGATTTCTGTCAGTTTAACACCATTACTACTACACAGGGGGTATGGCCAACAGGTACATGATACTGCTGCTTCTGCATGACACTACTACCATGCTGTGTTATTTTGCACATTGAAGTGTATACTGTGCTACTTCCAATTTTAAGATGAGCAAGATTGGCAATCAAGTTGGCCCATTTTGTAAGTCAACGGGCCTTCAGTGTGATTCAGGTGCACCTGAAGTGTTATGGTATTTCTGTTCTCTCATGCCCGTGATTCAAAGTGCTATTGCTTTTCAATGGAATGTGTTAGGGCTTTGTGACATCAATGATTGGTTTGATTGTGCTATTATGGAGAATATTTTTTGGATCAGTGCTCTATGGTTGTTAGTATACCAAAAGTGTCATAACATTCCTCTTATAGCTTGGATTCAAGAGTAATCTCATTGCATTGGAATGTGTCAGGTGTTTCCATTTGGATATGGTTACGTTTTGTATTTAGATTGAAAATATTCAAAAATATTTCTCACTGTTATTTTATCTGTTCCCTTTCCTGTTGTAGGGAAGTTGGGCAAGGCGATGCTTCTGGATCAGCTGCTATAGATTGCATCTGATATGGCCACTTTAAATGTCTTCCCCTTTTAGCTAGCTCTGGATTTTCCTGCATGCTGATTTATATTCCATTTCTCATTTGCATGGTGTGTTGTTTTTAGTGTATCTGGTTATTGTACAGTTGATAAAAATGCAAGACAATATTGGTGCACCAGTGGCATGGCAGGTTCAGTTATATACTTGGGCTGTGTCTTGGGAATGGTACAGTGGTTCTTACTTTTGTTTTTTTAAGAGTCCTTTGTTGGTTTTCTTATGTTCGTGCTGTTGTTCAGTTTTGTTGAAAATCTACACCCTGTTGGCTTTTTCAACTCTTTCTTACTACCCTACCAGAACAATTAAAAACTGATAAATAAAGTGGTTTGCGATTTGCGACGTCTTTTTTCTTCCTTTTTTCTCGTGTGATGTTGTCATGGATATTCTCTCTCTTTGCAGTGTGCTAAAAGCAAATGAGTTATTATACATCTTTCAGACCTCAGGAGTGAACCAGAATTGGCATAGTCTTCATGTATACCGTGTGAGGTGGTATCTTGTATGGTTTTCTTTGGGGTACTGTTGTTTAGTTGGCGTTGGTAGTTTTGGACTGAAGATGTACCCGGTCATTGGAGGCCTCATCTTTTGTATGAACATCCTATACCCTCTGTTCTATTTCTTCTTGCCTCCCTATTTCCTTCTCTCTTTTTTTTCACTCTCTTGCTAGATACTAAACTTTAGCAAATGAAGTTCCTGCTGGTGCAGTGTTATCTTCATTGGTGATCTGAGGTTGCTCATTATGGTGATTTTACTGATTATTTCTGCATGGAGTTCTGGGTATGTCATTTCTGGGAGAACTTGGACTGTTTCTGGTGCTTAGACCGGTTTGGATTGTTGCATTACTTTGCAATCATGTTTTCAGCTATTGCTTCTCACAAAATCATTTTTTTTGGCACACTGATCTTTTTTTATGAACCCGGCTGCAAGGCTGTTTCAAGTTTTGTGATGCTGCTCTTGAAAATTAGATATGTTACGCCATTATAGCCCCTTGACTGCTAGGATGTGACCGTTATCCTAACTGCTTTAGAACTTACCCCATGTGTTGCAAGTAAAAGTTGTTGGAGCAGCTGGTCCTCTTTGCCTTTCTTATATGCGCACATGCGTGCGCATCTTTATGAATCTTTTGCCATCGCTCTGCAAGTTCCTTCGTGTTTGGAAAAATCTATTTTTGTACTTTTGTTTGTGTACGACATGTTTCCTTCTGTTAAGTGTACATTTGTAGACCTGTTGCATCCTCTGTTCGCGTTTGCTACTTTATGCCTGCCCATAATTTGGGTACTTTCCCCCTTGATATATTTTAGAGGCCGTTGATTTCTATTAGTTTTTGCTATGCAGTCCAAAAATGGCAAGTATGATGAGTACATGTATCGCTTAAGACAAGCTTGAAAGGTAAAGGGATTTAAATGCTTTTCATATTGTTTGGTAGTGGTGCAGTAGTGTTTAGGCACTGTTTGGATAATAACATGGGCCTTTTATTTGTTATTGGCAGACCAGGGGACTACAATAGAAGACTGCCAACATTGAATGCTGCGGTTCTGTTGGGTTGTGGTTTCTTTTTTCTTGTCTTGGTTATCTAATTTCTTTGTGGGCTGAAATCATATATATTTTCTTGGGAGGACTGTGTTGAACTTGGAAGGGTTAGGAGCATGTGGATTTCTGCTATTAGATATCCTTGGTGTTTCTACTGTTTCCAAGACCATTTAGTTGTTAAGTTAGATTTTTTGGGTTGTACTCTCTAACAAGACTAACATGATGTGAAGTGTTGATTGATTAACTGTTTTTTGAGGATTCACTGTCTTGGGTTATTTCTATGTTAGACTTTTTGTGTCTCTCACATATTCATTGCAATCATGCCATGACTCTTGAATGGTGTCTTGCTTAAGAGGTTTTATTGCTTGTCATGTCATTGTTGATGGCTCTGCCCTACTTCAGCCCCACCTATTTTTTTTTTCTCTCCCTCTGTACTTTGATTACATGGCATTCAGCTGAGTTTATGGTGTTCTATGTTTTGTTATGTTTTACAATTTCATTTTTTGTGAAAATACTTTGACAGTTTTCACTTCATTTTAGGTTATCTGAGCATTGTCAATGGTTTTGGAGTGAAAACCTAGTTTTCTATCCCACCTAGAAAAAAACAAAATAAAACGAAAAAAAGGATACACCCTTTTCTTTTGCTGTGTAAGTTTCCCCGGTATATTTTGTTACTTGTTCTTTTTTGGTTATTTGTAGTGCGACACAACCTTGTTCTTCACATTTTTTCTGTTTTTCTATGAGAAAGCCCATTGGCAAAGGGTTTGTGTACTTCTGTTTTTTTTCCTGGGTGGGTTGACTGGTTTCAGTTTGAATTGTTTCAATCTGGGTTTTTTGGTTGGTTGATTGACATACTGCCTGGATTGGACTCTCTTTTCCGGAAATTTTATGTTTTTGTTGTCATCTTCACAGAACAAAATTTTAATTATTTCGGAAGGTTTCTTGCTTTTCCGTTGTGCCTGGAGTTGTTGCTCATGATTAATGAACTTCTTCACCTGCCTGAGTGCACATTTCTGTGGTATTTTTTGTTCTTCATGGAATTTGGTGGATGCTGGAAATGCTTGTTGGTTCTGTTTTCGTTGCAGAAATGGTTCTTGTTGCTGCACTCTCTTTGTGCGTGTTAGCAGTACTTTGCTCTGTTGTGCTTGGCAACTTGTGATCTGTGTGCAAGCTTTCTGGTGTTGTCTGCCATTTGCACCAACTGTGGACTGTAACGAGTAATTGAAACGGGGATGCCAAAAGAATGTGGTATTTGGAAAGTCCCTCTTCGTCTCTTGTTATGGGTGTTTGGAAACTTTTTTTGGGTGTTGCTTTAGGGGAAAGCGCCGGTTGTAGGCTGATCCTATTTGCTCGTCTTTTTGGTGTTTTTTGATTTCACAAGCAGGTGCAGATTAAGGCAGTCTGCAATCGCAACACTTGTTTTTGCCATGAAACTATGCTGATTTTGTCATCCAAAAACTCTTAGCTGAAACACTTTCAAAATGTTGAATGTGTGGAGATTACAACCCTGCTGTGGGTGGACCACCTTATTCAGTTAGAAATCTGAGTTCGGTATCCTGAATTGTAACAAGTGGGATTTCTTTTGTTTTTTTTTCATACTGGTTGCCCAAAGTTGAAATGAAGGAATCGGAAATCTGGTGTTTTGATGCATCGTCAAAAGTTTTGGTTTTTGATTAGGGGGGCCATATGCTGTTTGGATTTGACTTTATTCTCCGTGATAAACCCTTTGGAACGGTTTTATGGATCATTGTTTTTGGGATGTTGCCATAATTTTGTTGCAGGCAATAGAGGACCAGTTGCAGGAAATCGCTTTGCAGTAAATGATGGATAGGAGGATTCGGAAGTAGTAATCTTTGGCTACTTTAATTTGTTTTTTGGAGCCTTCTATTGGCTTTGTACTTGCAGAATTTATAGTACTTAAGTCTGTTCCTCGCAGAATTAGACCATGGCTAGGGGAAAGAAAATATAAAGGGCAAGTACATAGATGGTAATCCTTAATGTAATCTGCCACGGGGGCTTTATTTATTCTCCTCCTCTTGGTTGTTTTGTTTTTTCTATTATAATTAATATGACTACAATTATTTTTCAATTAGTTCGGACAACTCTTCTCGTTGGTATTAGCTTCTTTCTTGTCTGCATTCCAAAACGTGAGCACAAGGATAGTTGTTTGTAGGGTGTGCAAATTCTCCAGTTTGGTTATGTCTGAGGCTGGATCCATTTTGCCAAGAAAAAATCTCTGGTTTGGTTTGGTGGTTGGGTAGTAGTTCTTGTTGTGCATCATGAATAAGCACCTCATATAGTCTGGTTAACATGAAAGATAAAACAGTAAATACATTTATGGCAATTCCTTCTCAGGTTCTGCTGCTGGATGTTATTTCTTCTCATCTTCTTCATTGTTACTATTATATCCTTATTATTTTATTTGTATTTGGCAAACTTATATTCTACATAATCTACCTCATATAGTCATATTAGCAGAAGTGAGTCAGAGCTGGATGAGAGCTGGCTGAGAGTGTAGTTGTTCCCCTGCCCACATCATTCTTTTTCAGTTGCATGGTGTTGGTGTGGCTCCTCTCTATTTTGGTTGTTTGCAGCTTGAGGTTATACAATTTAGTCAAGTTATTGATAAATGTGTTTAGAATCTTCGGATTGTTGGGTTGGTTTATTTTTACTATTTTGAATATGATTTTTGAGGATTTATTTTTTGCATTTATTCGATTTAGTGTACCAGAAGTATCATATTTCTATATTACAGGTGTTGTTCAACAGGTCAGGTGTTCCTTTTTAGTTCTTGTTACTCTTGGTACTTGCAGTGGAAGAATTCAAAATCTTCCATTTTGGTTGTGCATGCTGTTCAGCGTTGTTGCAAGAGTGTGTCTGCTCTCATCCTTATTATAGGAATGTTGGGGGAAGGCTATGCTTTTGGAGGAGCTGCTGCAGATTCAACTGGACAGGTCCACTTTTCTGGCCTCTCTCTTTTACCAGACCCTGTCTTTTCCTATATGTTGGTCTATTGGCTATCTTTCTCCGTTCTTAATTTTTGTGTTGTGTGTTGGACTGTAAGTGATCTAGTAGTTGTGAGGCTAAACAAATGCAAGGGAATGTTGGTGCATGTGTGGTAGGTCCAGCTGTGTACTTGGGCTTTGTCTTGGGAATGGTACTTTCTTGGTTTTGTTTTTTCTATTTCCTTTTATTTCCCCTGGTGATGTTCTCCATTCTGATTTTCTGCAGAGCACTGCAATTGGATTGAGCTAATCCTTTGGATCTTGGAGTCAACGATTGCTTAAACTATTTTTGGTATTAATAAATGACTCTATTGAACCTATTGCACATTGTTTTATACCTGTGGTTCAGTTGTTATCTTATTGCGGCAAAATGTGGTTTCCATTTAGGCATGGCTAGTTGTGGTAGTTAGATTGAAAATCTGAAAACCTTTCTGTTTTGATCACGGGAATTTTGTTTAGCTTTGTAACTTGATACTGTAGAGATTCTGTGAACCGGTGTGGGTTCGATTGCCTTTGCTATTGTGGGAATGTTGGGGAAGAGAATGCTTTTGGAGTGGTTGCTGCAGATTGAACTGGCATTTTCTTGTATGCTAATTTGTTAGCCTGCCGCTTCCCAATCCTTGATTTTTTCATGGGGGTTACTGTAAGACTGTATACATGTAATACAGTGCATGTTTTTACTTTAAAACAGTGGATCCCCTCTTTCAACTCCCCAATGTCCTCCTGCGAGATACTTCTTCGACAGCATATAAACAGTAAGAAGCAGGTTTGCCATCTCCTACTAGGTTTTTTTTTTTTTTTTGGTGTATATTTATTCCTTTTTCTTAGTGTGTCGTTGTGGCTTCTTTCTTTTTTCGGTTTGTAGTGCATTACAACTGAATCACATTATGGGAAGATGTGTTTGGATCATGGTGTCGATGATTGGTTTGCTTTGCTACTATGAATATTTTTTTTTATGATTTTTTTTGTCCATGGTTGTTATTTGGTGTACCAGAAGTGTCGGATGTTCTTATTGCTATGATTCATGTGTGATCCATTGGTGAAGAATCTGTTGGGTCTTTCTATTTATTTATGGCTAATTTTGGTAAAATTGAATATATTTATTTTTGCTTTGTTGGTTAATGGGGATTTCATCTTGTTGCTTGAAGTCTACTATAAAGATTGTATGGACTGTTGTCGTGTCTACCATTTTCTATATAGCAAGGTATGCTTTTGAAGTAGCTGATGTAGATTCAACCTTAAACTATGACCACTTTTCCTGCCTTCCTCTGTTTTGCTAACCAGAATTTTCCTGTCTGTCAATTTTGCTAGCTGATCCTGTTCTTGATTTTTGTGTGGTGAATTATTTTCTAGTGGATCTCGTTATTGTAATCGCAAAGCAGGACAAATGCAAGACTATTGGTGCACCTGTGCCAGATACAGTTTTGTACTTTGGATCTGTCAGCATGTGTCTTGTTCTTCCTTTTTTATAATTGTGCTAGACTATGTTGTTGGTTGTCTTTAGGTCCTTTGGTTTCCAATCTCCATCACATGAGCGAAAGTGGTTCCTTTTCAATATTTTTTCCTACTTCTTACTACCTTTTTCTCTAGCATGTTGCTGGTATTGGATTGTGTTCCTGTGATTGGTTTGCTGGTTCGCTCTTGCTATTATGGGTTTTTTTAGAAATTTATGTCAAAATTGATTTATCTAGTGCAGTGTTTTGAAAAGCTCGCCTAGGCGCTCGCCTAGGCGAGAAGCGAGGCGAGGCGAGCTTATCTCGCCTGGAGGACCCCAGGCGAAGCGAACGTGAGTGAAGCGAGAAAAAAGCGAGAAAAAGCGAAAAAGCGAAGAAGCGAAAAAAGCGAAAAAACGAACGCTTTATTATAAAAAGCGATTCTGCTTCAA